GGAATGGATTGTTACACCTCGTTCGATCATAATTACGACAACGTATTTATCATTTACTCATGCCATGTCTTAAAAAAAACAGCATCGAAAAGCGCAAAAAAAAAAAAAAAGAAAAACAAACGAATCAACGAACTAACGAACAAATCGCAAATCGTATGTTCTCTTTCTTTTTTCTGTTCGTGCGCGGGTGTGTTTGTGTGTGTGTGTGTGTTTGTGTGTGTGTGTGTGTGTAATTCGTATATGCCGACCTCCTTCTTCGTTCTCTTCTATATCGCGTAAAGTATTTTTCGTGTGTTTCTTATTTTTCTTTTGTAGGAACTTATAAATACTACTCGTGGCTGCCGACCGACCCGACGGCGATTGTTTCGGTTCGCGCGGATTTGACAAAATGCGTCTCCGTGTCGCGTCCGTGTCAAAAATTCAAACTATATACACATTATACACACATATCTTGGCTGTATTCCAATAATCTTGTGCGATCTTGGTTTCAGTCGACGAATAACGCTCTATCTCTTTCTCTCATACACACACACTCTCTCTCTCTCTCTCTCACTCTCTGTCTCACTCTACTAAAGTTTTTTTACCTAAATGCGCGCGCTTCGCCGTCAACGGCGGATAATTCAACCGGAGAAGGAACGCTGTATGAAACCGCCGCAGCGTTTAAAAGATTCTCTATATATGGTCGGGGTGAGTCGGGAGGACCGACATCGTGTGTCTGTTAACGAGGAAGTCGGCGAGATGTGTCGGTAAGCGTCTCGAGTTGGCGGGTTTTCTTGTTTCCGGTCCTCGCTTCTCACCGTGGAATGTCGTGGATTGAGAGTCGCGGTTTAAACGGACATATATATGTGTATATATACATATAAAAAAAAGGAGAACTCTCTCTCTCTTCGCGCTGGTCGATGATTCGGAGCCGTGGTGTGTTTTTATGTGTGTGTATACGTATACACGCGAACTTTCTTAATGACGCGAAAAATTTAAGAAAGATTATCAACCACCGATTCTCCGATTTTCTGGCGACAGAACCAAACTTTTTTTTTGGCGAGTCGGCACCGCGCGATATGCGCGCGCGCGCGCGCGCGTTCCAGCGTGGCCGGAAAGAAAGGAAGAAAACTAAGTAATTAAGCGTTTTGCAAAACTCACGTGGAGCGCGCGATCGAGGTGAGCTTGTCGGGTCGTCGTCTGCCAATTAGACCGGGCTATCTCGTCAAAAGGCAGTCTCTCTCTCTCTCTTTCTCTTTCTCTCTCTCTCTCTCTCACGTTTTCACTCCGTTGAAATCGATCATACGCACGACACGAACTCTTCCTCGGAGCATTTTGGGGAGGGTGGGGTTGCGCCACCCTCCCTCTCTCATAAAGTCTCTCAAAGAAATCTTGCGCGTGCCGAGTATTTGGTTGACGCGCGCGCGTGGATTTCCGTTACTTTTCCTTTACTTTCTATAAGTCCTCGTCACCCCTTTTGTTTCTCCCTTTTTCTGATTTCGTTTTTTTTTCCCTATTCTTTACATCGACACTCGCCGATCTCCATCCACCCTCGAACACGCTTGTAAGATTTTCTACTTTATCACAGATGTTTTATTCGCGATTTTTTATATTTCGCCCTGTTTTTTGTCTACGATAATGCCTAACAGCTCACTCGGTAATATGTATTTTATTTTATTCCCGTTTGTGGATTCTCGTCTGGTATATAAATTTCCCTAAACTCTCTCTCGTATTTTTCGCGTGTACAACGCGCGATTTTTAACGCTTTGTCGTTCGATCACACCCGTGTTGATCTCCCTTCTCATCTTCTTGTAAGCGTTACAACACACGTGTTATTGATTCACAGCTCTCTCTCTCTCTCTCTCTTTCTCTCGTCGTCTCTACACACGCAAGAAGACACGATCGCACGCTAAGGCCTGCCTTAGTACAAAAATATACATTCGCTTCTTAAAAAATAGATCTTAGCATTCTGTACTGGCTAGCGTTTTTTTTTTTCGTTTGATATTTTACAGTATTTTGATTTTTGGCAGGCTGCTTTGTGTGTGTGTATGTGTGTGTGTGTATGTGTGATTTTTTTTGTTTCATTAAGGGCTCGAGTTCTCTCATTATAATATCAGCTACGAGAATTGCCGTCGAGTGAGCTCTCACCGTCTCTCAGGGCACACATCTTTTAATACTCCCGATCTAAAACGCTAGCTGGCGCACCATCCATTTTTTGTAGTTTTGTTTTTTTCTCTCGCTTTTGCGACGCGCATATTCATAAAATAGTACGTTGGTTCGCACTCACGCGATCCGGGCGATTGCGACTTCGACGAGGCAAAGATGGAAAGCAAGCTCTGGGAGGAGAAGTTTCCTTTTGTTTTTTCTTTTCTTTTTTTTTTTTCTTCTTTTTGTTTTGTAAAAAGCGCGCGGCGGAAAATCCGTCTTTGTTCAAATCGAAGAGAAAAACGATTTTATATTCTCGTGTTCGTTTTTCCACAATGACGATTATTATTATCGCGAATCCGGAACGGATCTCTTTTTCTCGTGTTTGCGAATGCTGCTTTCCGTTTTTCGCCTCGTTCCGTCCCGACACTTCGTGTTTTTTTTTCTTTTTCTTTTTTTCTTTTTCTTTATGAACATGGTGTCGGTTAAATACGTTGCGACAATATACGTGCAGTCCGCTCGGCTTGTATTTAAACACCTCTCTCGGCAGGTTCAGTCTTATGCTTTGTGGTTTTTGTCGTTTTATTATCGCGCGTTTAATATATATCGACACGTATATAACATCTTATATACTTGGTTTTGCGTTGTGCCCGCGTCGAGCGGCTGCACGATTGCCTTTTGTTTGTTTGTTTTGTTTTTTTTCTACGATATTTTTTAGCTTATTACACAGAGGACTCTCGCAGAGATGGAACTATTCATTATCACTTGATTTGTTTTCTACGATTTTTTCGCGGATATTCCATTTTTTTTTTTTTTTTCACACATTTTCGAACGCGTTAATATCGTTTCTCGCGTTCTTCGATATTAATTTTTTTTTTCTCTTTCGTTCTCTTGTTCTCGCGCAAATTGTTTGTCGCATGTGGTTTTATTTTCTCTCTTTCTCTCTCTCTCTCTCTCTCACACACACGCACTTACATCTTTCTCTCGCTATTTCTTTCTCGCTCGCTCGCTAATCACACTCTCACACGCACGGGCACACGCGTCCCCGAATAATAGGTTTTTGTTTCCTTTTTCTCCTTCTTCTTTACGCGGAATTTCCGTTCGTTGGAAAGAAAAACGAGAAGAAACGTAAAAAATTACTTCGTAAAAGAGGCTTCTTCGTTCCGTCTGTGCGCGGTATCTCGACGATCGGCGGAACGGGATGTTCTAGATATATATATATATATATATATACGATTACGTCCGCGTTTTCTTTCTCGTCGTATACGGTAAATATAAATAACTAACACGAATCTCTGTGTGTGTCTCTCCTACTTTCGTTCGTTCGTTCGTTCTTTCTCTCTCTCTCTCTTTCTCTGTCTTCTTCCTAAAATCTCTCTAAATTCGTTAGATTTTCCCCCCTTTTGTTTGTTCTTCTGACGTAAAAGCGCGATGAACACGCGCGGGAATACGAAATAAAGGGGCACTCGCACGAATGTGCAATATTTTACCTTTAAGTTTGTGTGTAATCTGTGTCTTGTATGTGTTTATTGTGTACGTATGCGCATGTGTGTACGTGTGTGTGTGTGTGTGTGTTGTTGTGTGTGTGTGTCTTCTGCATGTACACGAGGACGCAACCGTTACAAGATGGTTTTTTTTTTTTTTTGTTTTTATACTTGGTTATTTCTCTATGGTGGATGTCGCGTTCGCAGATTTCACGGTGAATTCACCCTTAAGCGCGACTCAGGTACATATTAAGGCCCGTTCATCTTGTATAACAGGTAGTTGTTCGTCGAAAGGAAACGTTCTTTTTTCCCCTCCCTCCCCCCTCCCCCGCGTATTTCATCCCTCTTCGCCTGAGACTTTCTCCTCGTTTTTTTACCCTAGTTCTCTTCTACGTTTTTTTTTTCATTTTTGTTTTTTTTTTTTTTGTTTTGTTTTTCACATAAATGTTCTTCGCGTTTGTTTTTCCGCACACGTGACTCCGCGGTTTTGTTTTTCGCATTCAATCCGAAAGATGTTCTTCTCGAACGCAATGAGATGTATATTTACAGAAACCACATATAAAAAGGAAAACGATATCATACGTGACTCTATACGTAGTTTACAATACACGACGAGTGTGTTATGTGTGTGTGTGTGTGTGTGTGTATGTGTGTGTGTGTAATCATTATAATTATACAAGGGCTCGAAAAAAAGTAAATAACCTCTCAGAATAGTAAACTGTGTGTAATAACATTATTACGGCGTAATTACGGTTTAGTATTTTGGTATTTTATCTTTGTTCTACGGATCGCGCTATCTTTTCTCTCTCTCTCTCTCTCACTCCTCTAAACTCTTTTTCTCCCATTCTTTCTCTCGTTTGTAAACATGCTCTCTTTCTCTCGTTTGTAAACACACTCTCTCACTTTCTCTCTCTCTCTCTCTCGTTCTTTCTTTCTCTCACAAAAATCGTCACCGTTAAATCGCACGACAGAAATAGATGCGCGCTGCGTCCGGATGTTAACGTGTTTTTTTTTTTTTTTGTTTTCAAAGTTTCGACAGATAATATATATATAATACAGTTATACATACATATACATACATATACGGTTAAGTGGCTAAATAACTCCGATTTTACAAATACATTTATCATTCGTGTGTTCGTCATTAGCGGTCGCTAAGAGCACGGTGAGTATAGAGACGGTTATATATATGTATATATATATTATATTCATTCGTGTTCACACACAATCGCTACCATTCGTTATCGGTCGTTATCACACCCGTCGAAAGACTATATACGGACAAGTTGTTTGCACGCCGCGAGCGATTTTGCATCTCGTTTTTCTTTCGCCCGCAAAAAAAAGCCGCACGTACGTACTTCACGTACTTCTTTCCGGATGCGTGATGGGGGGTTTTTTTTTTCTTAACATTTTGTACAAAAGCGTCCGATTGGTCTTGGTATTAAAAATAACCTCGGATCGCTGTATATTAATCGACCTCGTGCTCTTTCTTTCTCTTTCTTTCTTTTTGTTTTTTGTTTATCCTCCTTCTTTATTTTTCTGTCGAGCGCAACACGTATTTCGCTCTTTATAATATAATACATACTCACGCGCCGCTCGTTCGACGAACTTCTTCGCGAAGAAATCTCACTAGATATTTAACTCTCGCACGTCATTTTTTACTCTTGGCGCTCGCTATTTATCTATAAAACTTCCCAGAGAATTGGAAAAATATGTTGTCAAACGCGTTTCTACTTACATACATTTGGAATTTTGTTATTCTTTCCAGTGGAAGATCACGGAGATCGGAATCTCTTTCTTTCTTTCTTTCTTTCTCTCTCTCTCTCTCTTGTCTTCTTTTCTACGTGTGTCTTTCTCTTTCTCCGCTAGACGAGACGTATACTCTCCTTTGATTCAAATTCTACTTATAAGCTTTGCATTAAATTGATCTCTTTTAAAGACCTGACGACGCTGACTTCTCCTGCGTTACAAACTTGATCTCAGCCACGTCTCAGTTTCTTCATTTCTCGCCCAGCATGATACTTTGCAATAATATAAAATGAACTCTGATATTTTTCAATCTGTCTCTTTCTCTCTCTTTCTGGCAATACATCACGCGCGTGTGTTTTTCTCTCGCGTGATCGCGCCCAACATCACTTTGCCAACGCGACAGTTTTTTTCATTCAAGAGAAAACAATTACAATGCACATATATATATAAATATATATATATATATATATATTATATAAATTACTGAGATCGTCTCCCGGTTAAAAAGAGATCGTCTCGCTTGTCTTGCAAACGTGTGTGCGTTTGCAATTCTTGTTGATATACATATACCATCAGAGAAAGTCGAAGTAGATCTACTAGTTGACTACAGTTTTTTTTTTTTTTTTTTTTATCACATTCAAAACACGAACCGACAGAAATTTATCGTAAACGAGGAGAGAATTATATGTGCGCGTTTATATATTCCTCTGTGTTTCTCAATAACGTACTCAGCAAGATTCTTTCTTTCAACTCAGGCAGAAAAACAAAAAAAACGACAACGTCGTTTTCTGCGCAACAGCATCTCCGACGGCTGGCGACGCGTGTGGTTCTCTCACGCCGTTTGAACGTTTCATCTCCTCTTTAAAAAACGAATCTTATACAGAAGAATAAAGATGAGATGAAAGATTGTTTTGGTAACATTACTTCTGAGTGTCGTCCGGCGTTGGCCTGGGAGATTGACTTGTTGTTTTGGATCAATCGTACTGAGTAGAGATTTTCCATTTGTTATCGCTTAAATTACTTCTGATCATTGAGAACCAGCGACATTATCACTTTCCTGCTGCTGCCCTTCAGGGGATTCAGTATCACCAGTGGCAGATCCGAGTCGTTCAGCGGCATCCAATGTAGACCCATTATGCTTCCGATTTCCTAAATATTTGATTCGACGTTAAATTTCTCTTTGTTTCCCACTCTCTCTCTCTCTCTCTCTTCCTCTCTGTCGCGTCTAAAAAAAATTTATACAAAATATATTTATTAAAGTTACACTCACGTGTGCGATATTCTCGGCCTTGTGCCACAGATGGTCGGATGTGATATCGCTTTTCGCGAATGCCAGCAACTTGAGCGTGCTCCCCCTGAGACGCGCGATGGCCAGTAGATTTTCCTGGTAGTATTTGTAACCCAGAAACACCATTTTTGTGAGCTTGCTGCATTTCCACGCCACTAGCACGAGGGGATCTGGACTGTGGGATGAGAATTGTACGCATTCATATACATACGAATTATTATAGGAATCATTGACGAGAGCGCGTGAAAGCGAGAAAAAAAAGAAATGTGCTCACCTGTTCGGATCGTTTGGATCCAACGTGGCTGGCATGTGTTGCGTGCGATCGATCGAGTCTATCCACGTTAACGATCTCAGCGTGTGCGAGTACCACATCGATAATCGGAACAGCGCTCTGATATTGACGTTACGGCAGAATAGAACCTTGAGATGCGTCAGCGGCATCGCCGGGCAAAATATATCGGAGTGCAGTGCCTTAACGCCGGTGTAAGAGTGTATAAGATTGAGCCTCAATTCGCACTGCGGGCTGCAAAGAAAACGTAAAATATCTGTCGAACGCAATTCTTGAACCTAAAACGAATTATCAAAATTCTCGCAACTCACTTCTTTTGGACGAAAGTCTGCCAGGCCCTGTTCGTCGTTCCCGGATAGGTCTTATTCCAACCGTGTATGTGAATCACGAGTCTCTGCATGCACCCGTTATCTAGCGCCTTCAACAAAGTATCGCTCACGAACTCGTAATCCAAGGTTAAAACAGATAATCTGATAAACGAGTTAAAACAAGAGCTATCGATGTTGTAAACTTTGTAATAATCGGGATTGTTTTTGATAGACGCCAGACTGAGGTGCGTCAAGTGTTTGGCGTGGTGAAGACGCAGGTGCTCCAGGATCACGTAAATATTTTCTACCGGCTCTTCCGTGCATCCCAGACTCAGTGCTTCCAGGCAGTTCGACGTCTTGATGATATTTATTACAGACTTCACTAGTGATGCGGGGCGATAGTAATTACTAAAAGACAAAATAATCATTTTTCTTATTACGTGACAAAGATAAAAAAACTACTTCAGATATATATATATATATATATATGTGTGTGTATAAAACACAACATCAATCGATAGTGATCCGATACCTGTCAAAGGCGTAAGTCTTATCATCGAATTCCAAAAATAATTTCTTCAGTTGTCTGTTTTGACTTAGTTTATTCAAGAGTCTATACATTTCACCCACATAATTAATATTACTAGGTGCTTTCCAACGGATCGTGGCCTCCTGCACACTGAGAGCGAAACGTTCCGCCAAATATCTACAACAAAAGATTATTTGATTTTTTTAAATTTGCGCAACACCACACACTTTCTCTTCCCGAAGAGAAGAAGAGAGAGAGAGATAAGTGTGAAAAACCGAGAGAACGAGAAGTTTACTAACCGGATCCACAAAATGCTGTCCTTGTCCCTGAACGCGAAAACAATTTTTTTCCAAAAGCTCGGATGAAACAGAGTGTACCTCCAATTTCTGCACACCTGTGTCGTAGATCAAGAAAAAAAAAAATAAATCGTCAGACGAGAAACTTACTAATGAGCGCGCACATTTTACATATCAATTGAAAATGCACAGATAAACTCATACAACAAACTTAGAAATCGATACTATCAAGTGTGTGTGTGTGTGTGCGCGTGTGCGTGTGCGTGTGCGTGTGTGTGTTTACATACAAAATGATATTTACATGTCGCCATACGTTATAGCACAGCAAGCACAAAATCCAACTTCAACCAAAGTGTTTTTCATTTACGCACACCGATTTACATACATCGGTGTTTTTATCTCTTGTTTCGGCGAGATGATTGACATTCATGTTTACCAAAATTGTGACATCACTCTCTCTTCGCTTCGCGATGTTGCAAAATCGAAAAAAAAAAAAAAAAACGTACGGTTTTGAATTATATACGTACACACACTTGGAAAACCGCGCCGCGCGCCGCGGAAAAGAAGATCTTTAAAAACGTGTTTTTATGGGGCGCTGTTATATTTATCGCTATAAATAAATGCGTTGGCATTTCGCACAACAACGGATATGCGACGATATATCCATCATTTCGATGCTTGCTTAACTCAAAAGCGAGGGAGAGAAAAACACACGGTGTTGGTGTCCCAAGACACGCGAGATGACGTTTGCAAAAGCGACGTGCAAACGTTTCCAGTTTGCGCGATGCTGCGCAAGTGTTCAAAAAAAGAAAAGATGAATTTTTACATCTTGCAATTTGTTTTTGTTGTATATTTTTTCATCGGTAAAATATCCCATTCGAATGCGCGAATCCCGCGATTAACGCGGCATTATCAGCTATACACAAGCAATGTCAGGTCAGTTTACAGCGCCAACAATCTAGACGAGGCCGAGCGAGAAGGAAAAAGAAAACAAGAAGCAAATCGACTCTCTCTGTCTATCACTCTCGCTCGCTCACACAGCACAGCACAGCACACACACACACACACACACACACACACACACACACACACACACGCACGCACTCTCTTTCTCTCTCCCTTTCTCTCCATACCTGGGATGCTGTTATTCTGCTCTCGTGCGGCAAATACGAGAATATCTCCTGCAGGATAACGCTGGGCAGATTGTTCCAAGACGGGCCGTGTTCTTCCTGCGCCATTTCCGTCGTCATGCGATTCCCGGACACGCAGGACGAACAGCTGTTCGTAGAGTTCACCAGGCCCATCTGCTGGCCCTCGCACTTTCTCGACGTCGCCGTGTCCCCATTATTTCCCACCGCCGTCCGTTTCCTTGTCGTCGTCGTCGTCGTCGTCGTCGTTGTTGTTATCGTCGTCGTCGTCGTCGTCGTCGTCGTCGTCGTCGTCGTCGCCGTCACGGCGGTGTCGCTGGCAATCGTCGCACGGAACCTTTCCAATCGCAGCACGTCGAGCGTACCGTCGGAAGCGCGCATCATGTTCGACCAGCCGACGTTCGGCCGCGACTCGTCCGCTACGTCGTTCGACCCGACGTTCGCTATAGTAACCGCAGCCGCGCCGTTCACAGCCGAGACGGGCATGTATATATGTATATATATGTGTATGTATATATACTTAACGTGTGTATATGTGTATATATATATATATGTATATATCTCGCGTACGCGCGCACACACACACACACACACACACACACGAGCCGATACGATTCCGCGAACTATCCACACGCGACGCAAACTCACTCTCGTTCGCGCGTTCGCGCTGCTCCAACAACTGTCGTCGACGTTTCTCTCCGCCTCTCTCGCGTATGCATGAAGTGTGTACATACGCGCGTACGTACACACACACACACGTACGTACGTACGTGACAGCAGCAGGGCCGACTTCGCCCGATAACCGTCGTTGCGTATATATACAAAGCAACTTATGTATCTTCGTCAATTAACTCGAGAGAGCCGAACCCCGATCCGTTGCGATCGTCCCGATCACATCTCGTCGGAGAAATCGGTTCGAAAAAAAAAAAAATTAAACGACGCGAACGTCCCGCGCGAAATGTCACACATCTCTGCTTTCTGAGATGGTTTTTTTTTTTTTTTGTTTTTGTTTTGTACGCGATACACACGGCGACGAGATTAGATCGAGCGATCGAAATGGGAGATTTCTTTTGGATTGTTTTTTAATTTATTGACGGCGTCGCGTTCAACCGGAGAGACGACGAAGATATGAATAATCTCTCGTTCTCGTAAGTCTGTTCGCCGGGGGTCGCCGGGAATTTAAATCCCGCACTGACTGTCTGTGTGTGCGACAGCACGCTTTATGTCAAATTCTCGCGCGTTGCCATTGGTCGCGCGTTTACTACGCGCATGTCGCACGCAATTCGACGCGCGCCGTTTCAAAACGCGCGTTTCAAAAAACGATCTTTGTCAAACATTCGCGAAATATTTTTAGAATTTTCGTCGGAACGGAAAAAAAGAAAAACCACCGCGTTTCAATGCGTCTTCTGTGGGGGGAGGGGGGGAAGCAATCTGTGAGACGCATCTCCGCATCTCGCGGTGCAATTGCAAATTTGTTTTGATTCGAATACACGTGATTTATATCGACGAACAAAAATCGATATACCGATTATTTTGCGATTATCGACGATTATCGTTAGCGCGATTGATTGTGATATATCAATTACGCTTTGATTTCAGAAAAGAAAAAACCCGGAGCTATGCGACAAGCGACATTTTTTTTTTTTTCTATCCGCGATCTATAAACTGTTGCAATTCTCGTTTTCGCGGATATCTGACGTTGCGCGCAAAGGTCCCCGCTGTGACTCTGCCGCTGTGATGTCATCGTTGGTGGTCATCGAGACGTGCGGCGTGATATGCGCGCGGGACGAACCGTCTGAAGGCCGGCGTTGCCGCGCGAAGCATCTGGCGAGTGTGTTGCGTTCTTGTGCGATACGAGGAGGAAATTGTAAACGTGAGAACTGTGAGAAAGAGAGAGCGCGCGAGCGGACGATAAACAACATGGAGAACGCGCCGGCGGAACGTCGGGACGTCGTGTCGTGAAGAAGGGACGGGAAGTGCGCGCGGGGACACGAGTCATCGTCGTCGTCGTCGTCGTCGTTGTCGTTGTCGTTTCGTTTCGTGTCAGCAGCCGTCGTCGTCGCTTAAATGACACGGCACGATGACGCGGTCCAAGATACAGAAGATGAAGTTTTTCATATTCCTGCTGATCTTCCTGCTTGCGCAGACGGCGGTCTGCGACGGGAGCTTCCGCGAGAAGAGGGACGGGCTGAAGAATGCTTCTGACGATGACAACGAGAAAGTGAGTTCCGTCGGCAGGAACAAGGTTCCGGCCGACAAAGACCCCGACAATTCGGTCGCGCATAAAGCAACCGGTCAGCAGAACGCGGCCGGATCAGCGGCCGAGACGGCGAAGAAGCCGACGGCGGTCAAGGACAAGTCGCAACACAATATAACCTCAAAACCCGACGTCGTGAATCATACTGCGCCTCACATCGCGGACAAGTCCAACGAGGTTTGTGTTTATTCCGATTCATTGCAATCCGCACACGCAATTTCCCCAGGCGCTGAAACATTTTGCCAATTGACATTCGTCATTGTTTTTTTTTTTCACCATCTACGAAATCCTCTTGATTTTGAGGAAAAAAAAAATTTCGCTTTTATCTTGCGGTTTCTTCTTTCCGCGTTGTACATTGGTAAGTTCCCTCACGCATACACAGAAGTCAATTATGAGGTCAATAAAAGAAAAAAAAAGACGTATTACCGGCTTATTGCGCACTATACAATTCTTGCTGTTATTAACGTTTGAGAAAAAACTGCGAATAGCGGATAATTTATGTTTATGACATACTGTAAGAGACAGACGATTATATAGTTTTATTTGTTGCGAGAAGGAAATAGGTTTTTTTTTTGTGTGTTTGTTGTACAACACGTCTCATTTTTAAACGTTTTGTTTCTACATCATTTAATATCATCAAGTCTCTTCAGATTGACTTAATTGCTTTTTAAATGCTGTCGATTTTTATTTTATTTTTATTTTTTTTCAAGTGATTTACATATTAACGTAATTGATGTGTAAATTTGTGATTTTTTTGTTTCTCATTGGATATTGATGATTTGTCAAAAAAAAAAAATTCGTTTGCAGCAATCCAGCGATGGCTTCACAAACGTCAATACTGGCGCCCTTGCACGTGGGTTTTTGGTCTTCTTGGGACTAAGCGTCCTTGTCATAGCCTACATGGTGTTCCGTAGCTTTAGGTAAGTTCGCTAGGAGACACAACACGCAAAGATAACACACGCGCTACGTATAGCTGAGGAGTTAATGACTTTTTTTTTTTTTTTGTATCTTACCTTTGCAGATTAAGTAAAACACGTGCCCAATTGGTTCGAAAGTACGGTGTCCTTACGCACAGACAGGATGTCGAGATGCGGCCGCTGCCACTCGAGGAGGAGGACGACGAAGACACGACCGTCTTTGACGCGAGTAGCGTTGTGGCCACCCACGGTCAACATCAGCACGCGTAATTTGTATCTTGCGAAAGGAAGAGAGAATTACACCACTGTGCTGTCATGTTGTCTGTGTGATGTTCGCTCTCTCGGCATTACATGTTTTTAAAATGACATTCAACTAACTACTTCATCGTGAAGATGGTCGAAAAACTCGTGAAAAGACCACCAAGGCATTTTTTCGCGTCCACTCGGACAAAAGAGCTATTTGCTTTGTGCGGTGAAACTATTAACATCCGCGAATACGCATCTGTGATGCACTTATCACTCACATAACGTGCTTGTTAGCAATAGATATACTTTTTCCGGAAGAGATAGGTAAGAGAAGAGAACAAAATGTTTCTACCAATATTCTCCATCCTACAATATTTAACGTTACTATGTGATATAGCTTACAAAAAAAAAAAAAGTTTAGAGGTGTATCATGTCTGTGAAGTAAAGTGAAAAGTTAACGGGTGACTGTATCTTTACTCTTATACAGATTTATATTTTAATTAAATCTCTCCGTTGTTGTATAATTAAAATAATACAAATACAGATCGCCTCTATTTTTATTTAACGCTAAAATCGTTCAATAAAAAAAAAGTTGTGTACAAAACTTCGTTTTAAATACGTGTTAATATAAATTTTCTCGAGAGCAATCTGTCATCGGGGAGAAAGAGATGAATGTATAAAGATGAGATGACTTGATCAGTCAAAACTTAGTACATGCGTGTGTTTTTAAAATACGATAACATTTATTGGTCAATAGTTAATGGCAATCCAACAAAACTGTGTGATCTATGTTTCTATATGTACATATATATTTTATATGTATATATATATATATATGTGTGTGTGTGTATGTGTAGCTTAAAAATTTAAAGAAGAGAAATGGTTTGAACGATTTTTAGAAAAAAATTCACAAACAAAAACAGAAATACAGACTTAGAGACTGTTAAACAGGAAGAAACAAAATAAAGCCAATCAACAAAGATATAAATAAGAAAGTGGAAGAATTATTACAACTACATTAGAAAAAAGATAAGAAAAAATCGACAAAAGGAAAGAAATAAGTTGGGGATCACAAAAAGGATGAAAAAAAAGAAACCTAATTAAGACAAAGCAAGACTGAAATAGATACTAAATAACACATGAATGTATAACACCTACAATGGTAAGAACAGGACTAAAAAGGAAGTTGCAAAGACAAAAGAGATAGGAAAATTAAGGAAGGAGTAAGAAAATAAAAAGAGAAAAACAAGTAAGAGTGTAAATTAGGGTTAAAAATAATTAAACCACAGCTATTTGGCTCAAGACCACTAAGCAGATTTAAACTTTTATATACATATGTATAATTTTTTATACATTGTTTAAAAATTAATCATAACTAATTAAATCGTCATATATATCGTCATATAAATCCATTTTCGACAGCATGAACTATTACATCAGCCACTCTCTGTCTTCCACTTGATGTTTTGATATTGTGTAATACCCACACGTCAGCAATATTTACCGCTTCTTCGCCTTTAATAAGATCTAGATCGAACGACTCGGACGGATCCAGCAGACAGAACGGAAGAGCCTCGAGCGAGAATGCCATTCCGAAGACAAAATGATCCTTCACCTACAATAAACGTTAATTGATGTACAGTATTTTTTTTGGAAACTCTTATTAAGAAACAGACAACGTTAAGCAAACAAAAGAAAATACTTCTTTCTTAAACAAATCCCATGAATAAACTTTTTCCGGATCCGATCCAAGGGATTTGATGGCGCTGCTCAATTCAGTGTAATAAACCTTCAATACATCATCGAAATACTGATCACGAAATGGTTTCAAGGTGCAGGAGTAAATCAAGAAGGACAGGTCACACACAGGACTTGAACAACGCGCGAGCTGAAAGTCGAGCATCAACGCTTCCTTTTGACCCTGTCCGACGTCTCGGACCAAAAAGTTCGGAGCCCAACAATCACCTGCCGATATCACAGACGTGGGAGCTTCTTTATTCAGACACATTTTAGACACTATATCGAATATTGCACGAGGTTCGTAGGTATTGAATCGTTTGTCAGCTTCGCTGTTAGGATATTCGGTCGCTATCGCGTTTCTAGCAATACTGACTAGATTTGTCTATAAAAACAGAAAAAATAATAATTAATTTGCGTCAGAGTGTACACAACTTGCTATTAATTTGATTGACAGAACGCTTGATGTCACTCACGTAGAATTTCTCGTACCAACTCCAGTGACTGGGGGAATAATAAGTTTCTTTCAAACAATTTATAATCTGTTCGTACTCCTCTTTCTTCTGATCTCTATACGCAAATGAGATCGAATGGAATTTCGCCAGTGTTTTCAGAATCGTAGAACACTCCGCAAAGTTTATACAGTTCTGGCGAGATGGAGGTCCGTATCCCAACGGAGAGACATCTTCCAAGACGATGAAATCGTTCTCGCCATCCATGTAAGAAATCAGGTGACGTGGTATGCGCAGCAAATCGCTTTGTCCTCTCTCTGCCAAGAACTTTTTAAGTTTGGGAACCACCTGAAAAAAAAAACTTGTGTGTTCGAGATGTTTTGTTTCATTTCTAGACAAATATACACTTTATTCTTTTGGTTTACGACTATAAAAAAAGAAATGTGTTCTTGCCTGCGTGTAAAACACGATTTCATTACGGAAGAATTCCGCGCTTCTGAAGGTGTTTCTTCTGCCAACGTTCTTTGGAATGGACTTGACGACAAAATCCACCTTCACATTCTTCTTCGGATCACCGTCCACGATACCGTATATTGTGCCTTTGTTAACGGTCGACAAGTAACTGTCACCTTTGGTGAATCCACCGCGAAAACTCCAGCCTGTGAGCTGGACCTCTCCATTGTTCTCCTTACATAAGATATCCCTCAATATTTCCTCTGTAAACTTGTCACTTACTTCACTCAATTCGACATGATTTTTATCTTGACTCATGATTCCTCCTGCAAATTGGTCACAATTTTGATGACAAGATTTAATGATAATAATCTTTTAAATACGTGTGTGTACATATGAATATTCTTTGTATAAATTATATGGTGTCCATAAAAGTAATACCCCTTACAGAAACTTATTACTGCTGTGACCAAGATAGTAATTATTTTGAATATTAAAAGCACTGTCAATGCTTTTATCATTCGAGTGATTTTTTTATACTTAAAGTACCCACAGAAAACAAAACCTCCATTAGACATCTATTAGATATAACATGGAGCTGTTGATGTTTAATGAATAACTACTGGAGTTTTTTTTGTTCTATGTGACAGTAGATATTATTTTGGCCACATCACTAATAAATTTCTTCTGTAAAGAACGTATATTGACACAAAAACTTTGCAAAAATTATATTTTCAACAGAAATCACAAGTACCTCTTAATAAACAAAATACACAGGTGTTCTACAAGCAATTTGTCCACGCTAGGAGAATGATGAAATTGCTTCACTTTATATACAGTTCTGCAGGACAGATAAAGTTTTCAGAAATTTTACACGTGACGGGATAAGAGCACTCTATAATTCATGATAAATATCTTATCGCATTGAAATATTTGCTTAGGTTTTTAAAGCTTTCGTATGTTGTGCTTATTTTTCGTGCAGAAAAAAACTGCGGATTTAGCAAAAAAAACTGCAAGTATCACTTTTTTTTGTAACGAGAATATAAATATGTATTTTTCTTTCAAGGAGAAATGTTATCTCTTACATGAAATGTGTTATCTCTTACATTATAGATTTCTTTCATTTAGAAAACTGCAATCGCACACTCAATCTTGACGTTTAGATCTGCCACGTAGCACTAGAACGCAAATGGTATTTTCCATCACGATAAGGACTAGGGTGGATCTGTGGGAGCATCTCTCCCAGATTGGAGCTATTTAACTACATTAATGTGGAGGAAGGAGAGAGGGAGGAATAAAGTGACACGCCGTGGCACAGAAGGATACGTGAAATGTGTGTGTATAAGTACGTTACTATTACAGACTTTTGTGTTCAAAACAACGGAGGGGTTTGTCCCTCGATAGAATAAATGATTCTCTCTCACACCTTCCTATTTCCCTTTTGTTTTCCTCATTAATGACAAATCTTCAAGATTATACACATATCGCAACAAATTCATTTTAATATTTTGTGTTTGTGAATTTGCCACTTTGTTTTGAATATTTAAAATGCAAGTGTGTTTCTCGAGTGGATTTAAACGTCGCGCGATCTTATCACGCAGCGGCCAATCGCGGGCCGCTGCGTGGCTCTGGACGCTGCTGAAACGTCACTTGTATTTACAAGGCGAATGTATCGAGCGCCTTTCCCCTCCGAGTGTTGGTCTATAATCAAGGCCGGTATTTATAGTTGGACGGTTTTGCGGTCCGAGTGCATAAAGTGCGAATCTAGGAATCTCGAGTTCGAATATCTGCCCAATATCTTGACATTTTTTCTTGGGCTAGATATTTCTAATCGAGTTTCTATTCGATTGAAAGGCAAATTGTATCGTCTCCAAAAATTAGTTCAAGCAAGAAAAAGAGAAAACCTGGAACTTTTCTCCCAAAAACATTTAACAATAAGAGTTGCGTAATCCGATAGAATCCCATTCTCGACCAATGAAATCGAATGACACGTCGCTTAGATAGGAAAAAGCAGCATTGCACAAAAACAAATATTTCCCTATTTCTTATTTTCACTTTTTTATCTTGTTATTCTTGTCTTCGTTCTACCTAGCAGATACTTAAGGAAGACGTGGATTTGTGTAGCCAAGTGTCTAGAATGAACTCCTAATAAGTGCACGTAGCTGTGACAAAAGGTTTCACAAAAAGTGATCTGTTCTGATACTGCTGGAAACGAAACAAGTGTCCAGTTTGAGAAGAGAAAAGGATGATAAAGTATATAATACACACGTAAAGAATAATGAAAATGTAAATTGACGTTACCAATAATTCACATAAATCTTTTGGTACAAAAGTTACTACGCCGATTTAAAAGAGATCTGTATAAACATATATAATTCTTCATAAAGCTGTTTACAAATTATGATTGATCATAGATTAACATACATCGTTACATGTATCCATTTTCGACACCATGAACTATTATATCTGCTAGTCTCTGTCTTCCACTTGATGTTTTGATATTGTGTAATACCCACACGTCAGCGATATTTACCGCTTCTTCGCCTTTAATAAGATCTAGATCGAACGACTCGGACGGATCCAATAGACAAAAGGAAACGGTCCCGAGCGAGAATCCCAATCCGAAAACAAAATGATCTTTCACCTACAATCAATGTCAATTGATATACAGTACTTTTCTTTACTCAAAATTCTAAAACGCAGATAATGTTAAACAAAAAGTAAAAATTACCTCTTTCATAAATAAGTCCCAAGGATACATTTTCTCCGGATCCGATCCAAGGGATTTAATGGCACTGCTTAATTCAGTGTGATAGATTTTCAATACATCGTCGTAATACTGATCACGAAATGGTTTGGAGGTGCACGAGTAAATCAAGAAGGACAGGTCCAACATAGGACTTGAACAACGCGAGAGCTGAAAGTCGAGCATCAACGCTTCCTTTTTGCCCTGTCCGATGTCTCGGATCAAAAAGTTTGGAGCCCAACAATCGCCTGCCGATATCACAGACGTGGGAGCTTCTTTTTTCTGACACAATTTACACATTATATCAAAAATCGCACGAGGTTCGTAAGTATTGAATCGTTTGTCAGCTTCGCTGTTAAGATATTCAGTTGCTAGTGCATTTCTAGCTATGTTGACTAGATTTGTCTGTAGAAAACAAAATTGTACTTAACTTACATTAAAGTGTACAGAAGAATTTTACTTTAATTTGATTGAAAAAAACATAGTGTCACTCACATACAACTTTTCATGCCAGCTCCAGTTACTAGGAAAATAATAGATTTCTTCCATACAATCTGCAATCTGTTGAAACTCTTCTTTCTTCTGATCTTTATACGCAAATGAGATTGAATGAAAGTTTGCCAATGTTTTCAGAATCATAGTGCACTCTGCAAAGTTTATACAGTTCTGGCGAGATACTGGTCCATATCCCAAGGGAGAGACATCTTCCAAGACAATGAAATCGTTCTCGCCATCCATGTAAGAAACCAGGTGACGTGGTATGCGCAGCAAATCGCTTTGTCCTCTTTCAGCCAAAAACTTCTCAAATTTGGGAACTACCTAAACAAACCTTGTATGTGTTCAAGATCGAGATGTAGGTTGTCATTGTATTGTTTCTAGACAAATATACATTTTATTGGATTCATTACATCTTTAACAAAAATGTGTAATCTTACACATCTTCTTGTAAATATGTATAGTCATCTTTAAAAAACAATGTGTAGTCTTACTTGCGTATAAAACGCAATTTCGTGGCGGAAGAATTCCGCACTTTTGAAAGTTTTTCTTCTGCCGACGTTCTTTGGGATGGATTTGACAACAAAGTTCACTTGCACAGTTTGCTTCGGATCACCGTCCACGACACCGTATATTGTGCCTTTGTTAACAGTCGACAAGTAATTGTCACCTTTGGTAAACCCATCGCCAAAACTCCAATCTGTAAGCTGCACTTGTTTCCCATTGTTTGCTTTACAGAGGATGTCCATTAGTGTTTTTTCTGTGAACTTGTCACTTACTTCATTTAGTTTGATACGATTTTTATTTTGACTCATGATTCCACCTGCAGATTGTTCGCAATGTTGATAAGAAGATTTTTATAATAATTATCTCTTAATAATAATAGTTTCTTACATACTGGTATGTGTATGTGCATCTATATGAATTTTTTGTACACAGTATATATTACGTAAAATTCTTTTTTGCAAAATCTTAATAAAATTGTGTAAGTAAAGTATAATGATAAAAATACTTTGTTGGAATTGTATTTTCAGATAATCTCAATTACCTCTTGTTAAACAAAACACACATGTGTTCCAGGAACAAGTTCTTTACGTTGAGATGATAATGGAACACTCCTTCACTTTATATACTGTTCTACAGCAGAAAGGATAGTTTTCAAAAATCGTATTAGACGTCACTTGTCTTGAGATAAAAGCGCTATAATTCATGATAAATGTTATCCTACCTTCGAAATATTTCAAAGCCTTTATGTAGTAATCAAAGACTTTTAAAACCCAGGCAAATATTAGCTTTTATCTTGAGACAAGTGACGTCTGATAATTTTTTGAAACCTTTTCCTGTTGCGAAATAATATATAAAGTGAAACAGTTTTATCAATTTTCACGTAAAAAACTGCAGTTTTGGCAGAAACAACTGTACGTATCGCTATTGTGTGATAGGAAAAATATATATTTCTCTTTTAAGTCGACATGTATGTTACGTATGCGTTAAATTTTTTTCATTTAAAAAACCGTGTAATCATACACTCGATATATTTTAATTCTTAGATCTGCCACGTAGCATTAGAGCGCAAATGATATTTACCATCACGATAAGAATTAGAATAAATCTGTGGAAGAGAATCTCTTTTTGGTGTTAATAATTACATTATCGTGAAGGAGGTAGAAGAGATAAAGGAATATAAAGTGGTACTCCGTGACAGAAGGTGAAACAGGTTTTACCTACGTATCTATGTATGAATTAATATCATACAATCTTGTGCTTTGTTCAAAATATCGGATTGTTCTTCGAAAGAATACTGTTTAGATTTATCTCGAGTGACATTTTCTGTTTCTTTTTTGGTTCTCTCATAAATTGCTAATAAAAATTCTTTAAGTATACATATTGTAACACGTTCATTTTGGTATTTTGCGTTCGCGAGAAGCGGTAAGTTGGATAAAACAGAGATAGAACAATTAAAGATGGAAAATAGAAAATTTAAAAGATTGAGAATGTAAATTAACATTAAAAATAATTACCAAATATTCTTTAGCACAAGACCACTAGGTCGATTTAGAAGAGAGTTATATGTACATATATATAATATATATAATTCTCTATATATAAACTGTTTAAACATTGTGATCATAATTTAACATATATCGTCACATATATCCATTTTCGACAGCATGGACTATTATATCTGCTAATCTCTGTCTTCCACTTGACGTTTTGATATTGTCTACTGCCCACACGTCAGCAATATTTATCGCTTCTTCGCCTTTAATAAGATCTAGATCGAACGACTCGGACGGATCCATTAGACAGAACGGAACAGCCTCAAGCGAGAATGCCAATCCAAAGATAAAATGATCCTTCACCTACAATCAATGTCAATTGTTATGTAATATATCTCTTTACTCAAAATATTATTAAAAAACACAAGGTTAAACAAAAAATAAAGATTACTTCTTTCTTAAATAAATCCCACGGATAAACTTTCTCTGGATCCGATCCAAGAGATTTAATGGCACTGCTTAATTCAGTGTGATAGATTTTCAATACATCGTCGTAATACTGATCACGAAATGGTTTGGAGGTGCACGAGTAAATCAAGAAGGACATGTCACACACAGGACTTGAACAACGTGCGAGCTGAAAGTCGAGTATCAACGCTTCTTTTTGACCCTGTCCAACATCTCGGACCAAAAAGTTCGGAGCCCAACAATCGCCTGCTGACATCACAGATGTGGGAGCTTCTTTTTTCTGACACAAGTTAGATACTATGTCATAAATTGCACGAGGTTCGTAGGTATTAAATCGTTTGTCAGCTTTGCTGTTAGGATATTCAATCGCTAGCGCGTTTCTAGCAATATTGACGTGATTTGTCTAAAGAGAAAAATAATATATTACTTTACATCGAAATGTACACAATATGAATGTCATTTCAATTGTCATTTGATTGAGAGAATGTAATGTTACTTACATAAAACTTCTCATGCCAGTCCCAGTTACTAGCACAATAATAGGTTTCTTCCACACAATTTGCAATCTGTTCGAACTCTTCCTTCTTCTGATCTCTATACGCAAAAGAAATCGAATGAAATTTTGCCAATGTTTTCAGAATCGTAGTGCACTCTGCAAAGTTTATACAGTTCTGGCGAGACGCTGGTCCGTATCCCAAAGGAGAGACATCTTCCAAAACGATAAAATCGTTCTCGCCATCCAAGTAAGAGACCAGGTGACGTGGTATGCGTAGCATATCGCTTTGTCCTCTTTCAGCCAAAAACTTCTCAAATTTTGGAACTACCTAAACAAACCATGTATGTGTTCAAGATCGAGATGTCTTGTTTCATTGTACATGTTTCTTAACATATATACATTTTATTGTTTTGATTAGATGTTTAGAAAAATATGTGTATTCTTACTTGCGTATAAAACGCTATTTCATTGCGGAAGAAATCCGCATTTCTGAAAGTCTTTCTTCTGCCGACGTTTTTCGGGATGGACTTGACAACAATATTCACTTGCACATTTTGCTTCGGATCATCGTCCACGACACCGTATATTGTGCCTCTGTTAATAGTTGACATGTAACCATCACCTTTGGTAAATCCATCTCCAAAACTCCAATTCATAAGCTGCACTTTTTTTCCATTGTTTGCTTTACAGAGGATTTCTGTCAGTACTTCCTTTGTGAACTTGTCACTTATTTCACTCAATTCGATATGATTTGTTTTATCTTGACTCATGATTTCACCTGCAAAGTATACACAATATCTCGATGAAAAGATTTAATAAGTATAATAATAAGTTTCTCTTAAATCTTGTTATGTGTATCTGTATGAATTGTTTGTAGAGATTATATTGTATGTAAAATATTATTTTATAAACTCACTGATAAAGTTCTGTAATTAAAATATAAATGAAAAAAATATTTTGCTGAAATTGTATCTTCAACAGAAATCTCAATTACCTTTTAATAAACAAGACACACACGTTTTCTACAAACAATTTATCCACAGGAAGATGATAATGGAACACTGCGTTACTTTACTGTTCTACAGCATATAAAAGTTTAAAAAAATTTTTTTTTAAACGTTACTTGTCTCAAGATAAGAACACTTTATAATTCATGATAAATATCTTATCGCTTTGAATTATTTGCCAAGATTTTTATAACCTTTCTGTATTATGCACAAATTATTTTCATACAGAAAAAATTGCAGATTTATCAGAAAAAACTGTAAATACGACTTTTGTGTGGCCGAAAATATATACATACATGTAATGAAAAAATATTATATTTCGTTTTCAAGAAGACATATTATCTTATAAGTTATAGATTTCTTTCATTTAAAAAACCGTGCAATCATACACTCGAGAGCGCAAATGGTTATCTTCTATCACGATAATGACTATATAGAGTGGATCTGCAGGAAAATCTCTTTTACAGATTGGAGTTATTTAACTACATTAATGTGTAAGAAAAAGAGTGGGAATAATAAAGTGACGCACAGACCATAAAATGTGTATTTATATGTATGTCAATATTACAGACTTTAGTGTTCAAAACACCGACTTTGTTCCTTGGAAGAGTAATGTTTAGGTTCCTCTCAAGTGACATTTTCTCTTCTGTCCCCCTCTCATTAATTATTAATAATAAATCTTCAAGTACATACATTGTAACACGTTCATCTTAATATTTTGTGTTCCCGAATTTGCTACTCTGTTTTAAGTATTTAAAGACTAATTGTGTTGCAATTGCTTTGAAACATCGCGCGATCTTATCATCCAATTACAGGCCGCTACGTGTTTCTGAACCCTGCTGAAACGTCACTTTTGTTAACAACTCAAATGCTTTTATATAGTCACAGGTTCAGCAGATCTCAGCGCTTAGCAAGCGCTTTGTCCTTATTGTCTGTGATTGGTTCTTTTACGTAAATTCAGTGGAAATATGAAAGTATATGCTAAAATGACTAGCACCACTCGCAAAGCGTTTGCTAAGCCCTGAATTCTGCTAAACCGCAGCCGTTGATCTATTCTGATATTGTTGAAAAGAAAAAAGTATCTAATTTATGAAGAGAAAAAGAAAGGATGATAGAGTATATAATACATAAAGAATATAAATAAAGGACATAAATAGGATAAAGATAATAATATCTTAGATGAAAGAAAAAAAAGAAAGTAGTAAGTTAGGTAAAAAAATGGTAGAAAAATTAAACGAAAAAAGAAAGTTAAAACAGCAAAATAAGAATGTAAATTACCGTTAAGGATAACTGATCTAAATTCTTGATCCCAAGACCACTACGCCGATTTAAAAGAACTTTATATACACATATACATATATACAATTCTTTCTAAACTGTTTAAACATTTTATGTGTGAGTGTGTGTGATCGTGAATTAACATAAATTGTCACATATATCCATTTTCGACAGCATGGACTATTATATCTGCCACTCTCTGTCTCCCACTTGATGTCTCGATATTGTCTAGTACCCATACGTCACCAGTAATTAAAGCTTCTTCGCCTTTCATAAGATCTGGATCAAACGTTTCGGACGAATCCAGTACACAAAACGAAACAACCTCGAGCGAGAATGCTAACCCTAAGATAAAATGATCCTTCACCTACAATCAATGTCAATTGATATAAAATACTTCATTTTATTCGAAATCTTACTAAAACACGGATAACGTTAAACAAAAAGTAAAGATTACTTCTTTCTTAAATAAGTCCCAAGGATAAATTTTCTCCGGATCCGATCCAAGGGATTTAATGGCACTGCTTAATTCAGTGTGATAGATCTTCAATATATCGTCGAAATACTGATCACGAAATGATTTGAAGGTGCAGCAATAAACTAAGAGGGACAAGTCACACACAGGACTTGAACAACGCGCGAGCTGAAAATCGAGCATCACCGCTTCCTTTTGATCATGTCCGACGTCTCGGATCAAGAAGTTTGGAGCCCAACAATCGCCTGACGTTATCACAGACGTGGGAGCATGTTTTTTCTGACACAATTTACAACATATGTCAAAAATCGTGCGAGGTTCGTAGGTATTGAATCGTTTGTCAGCATTGCCATTAGGATATTCTGTTGCTAGTGCGTTTCTAGCTATGTTGATTAGATTTGTCTGTAGTAAAAAATTAATATTTTATTTACGTGAAAATATCGTGTACACAACACGATTTTTATTTCAATTTGATTGACATAATGTCACTCACATAAAATTTTTCATGCCAGCTCCAGTTACTAGGAAAATAATAGACTTCTTCCACACAATCTGCAATCTGTTCAAACTCTTCCTTCTTCTGATCTCTATACGCAAATGAGACCGAATGAAAGTTCGCTAATGTTTTCAAAATTGTAGTGCAATCCGCAAAGTTTATACAATTCTGGCGAGACGCTTGTTTGTATCCCAAGGGAGAAACGTCTTCCAAAACGATGAAATCGTTCTCGCCATCGCTATAAGAAACTAGGTGACGTGGTATTCGCAGCAAATCACTTTGTCCTCTTTCAGCCAAAAACTCCTCAAATTTAGGAACCACCTAAACAAATCTAATATGTGTTAAAGATCAAAATGTCTGGTTTCATTGTACATATTTCTAAAAAGTATACATTTTATTTTTCTAATTTACATCTATACAACAAAAGATTTTTATTCTTGCCTGTGTATAAAACGCAATTTCATTACGAAATAAATCTGCAGTTCTAAAAGTCTTTCTTCTGGCAACGTTCTTCGGGATGGATTTGACAACAAATTGTACTTGCACATTTTGCTTCGGATCATCGTCCACGACACCGTATACTGTGCCTTTGTAAACAGTTGACATGTAACTGTCACCTTTGGTAAACCCGTCGCCAAAACTCCAATCTGTAAGCTGCACTTTTTTCCCATTGTTTGCTTTACAGAGGATGTCCATCAGTGTTTCTTCTGTGAACTTGTCACTTACTTCACTCAGTTTAACACAATTTTTATCTTGACTCATGATTCTACCTGCAGATTTTATGCAATCTTGATGAAAAGTGCTAATAATAATAATACTTTTCTAAATATTAATAGTTCCTTAAATACTGTTATATACATATGTATATCTATATGAATTCTTTGTATAAATAATATATTACTTAAAATATTCTTCCATAATATCACTAATAAAGTTCTGTAGGATATATCGTTAAAAATATTTTGTTGAAATTGTGTATCTTCCACAGAAACCTCAAGTACCTCTTAATAAAAACAAAATACACACGTGTTCTACAAGCAATTTGTCCACGTTAAAAGAATGACGAAATTGCTTTACTCTATATACTGTTCTGCGAGACAGATAAAGTTTTCAGAAATCTTAGACGTCACAAGATAAGAGCACTCTATAATTCATGATAAATATCTTATCGCAATATTTACCTGTATGTGTGTGTTCAAAGCCTTTTTATTTTATACACAATTTTCATGCAGAAAGAACTGCAGATTTAGCAAGAAAAACTTCAAATATTGCTTTTGTGTGATCACAAAATATATAATATACTTATTTCTTTTTCACTGACACATGTCATCTTACGTATGCGTCAGATATTTCTTACATTTTAAAAACTTTGCAATCTTACACTCGGTTTTAACGCTACATCTACTTAGCATTAGACCGCAAATGGTGCTTTTAACCACGATGAGGATAAATCTATGAGAAATTGTTTCTAAGAAACTATTTATTAATAAATTAACGTGAAGGAAAAAGTAGAGAGGGAGGTACAAAATGACACGCAATGATAAGAAGGCCACATGAACTGCATATTTATGTAAGTATGTTACTGATACAACTTTCCAGATTGTAGCGTGTTTCAAAACACTAGATTGTCATTGAAGAGTAATGTTTGTGTTCCACTTGAATGATACTTGCTGGTTCCCTTTTGTTTTCCTCACTAATAATATCACTATAAATCTTTAAGTACACATCGCAACACATTCATCTTGATATTTTGTGTTCGTGAATTTGACACTTTGTGGTGAATCTTTAAAGTGCAAGTGTGTTCGATTCGAGATAAACGTCGCGCAATCTTATTACGCAACAGCCAATCACAGGCATCTGTGTGATTCTGAACGCCGCTGACCGTCACTTGTGTTTACAAGTGCGAAAGTCCTGGATTTGTGCAGCCAAGTGTCTAGAATGAATTCCTTCTAAAGTGTACATATGTGTGACGAAAGGGTTCATGAAAAGTGATCTGTTCTTGTACAGTGCGGAGCACCATATCGAGCGCCGTGAGGGGAGAAGCAGTTCTTCTCCAGTCGCCTCCTACTACCACGCGCCAGCGGCCCGAGATTTAATCCATATATCGGCACGGTTACCGATGATACATACCGACGCGGTTACCAATAATACCGACAGGCATATGTTACCATAAAATTATCGCGAACGTTGAAAAGAGTAATAGCGATTTCGGCTAGTCTGCACCGGTGTGCCACCTTTGTAGAGTTGGTGCAATTGTGTGCAACACCGCATCGGTGTGTGTACTGATTACACTAACTGGCTCCGACTAATTTGTGAGAGCCACTTTGTGTACACCCAACATGCATCTATGCGGTGTACTGAGCTCAGGCGAATACGCGGAACCAGCAAAGAACTGCTGCCATTCGACCAGCCGAACACACAATTTGCACCGACACCCGAAATGTGCAGTCGGTGCAAACCAGCCGAAATCGCTATAACTCTGCATTGAAAGTGACTTCAATAATTTATATCAAATATTTATTTATTTAATTATTAGCTTTTACGTGATATAAGAAACTTACTTACGGTAAGTGTAAAAAAGTAAAATATATTTAAGAGAGTAAAAAACCGTTCGGCTTCCCGTTTTGATACATTGTAAATATGATCTTCTTGAGTACGTTTCTAAAAGTTTTATCCATGGCTCCTTGTTTATAAAAAAATTATAAACAAAAAAAGTTTGTTGACTAAACTATCGTTTTTCGACACCGTGTACATTTTTTGTGTATTGTAAACATGTAGGCAGAGGGGGCTGCGCTCCCCGCAGGTGGAGAAGCTTCGCTCCTCCACCCTGCTCCCCTTTCGGGCAAAAATAGAAAACGACTTCTGATTAAGTGTTGCTAAAAATCACGTATGTTATCATGAAGCGACATGTAATCGAAAGTCGTTTCCTATTTTTTCCCGAAGGGGGAGCAGGAAGGAGGGGCGAAGTCCTTCCACCTGCGGGAAGCGCAGCTTCCCTCTGCCTACACACAACGAAGAAATGAAAACAAATCGTCAATCAATCTAGTATCAAAAATCAATTCTAGTATCAAAATTATATATTCGGGACGAATACGAACGAAGACATGAAAACAAAACAGAAAGTTTCGGGATATGTTGCATATACACACATTGTTGGCAACATGAACATTACTCATTTCCTTCTGAAATGTACACGGTGTCGAAAAACGATAGTTTATTGATGAACCGTTTTTTGTTTATAACTTTTTTAGAAACAATGAGCGACGGATAAAACTTTTAGAAACGTACTCAGAAAGGTCATATTTACAATGTATCAAAACGAAAAGCCGATCGGAAGAACCTCTCCTATTGTAAACATTTACCATGGTTCTGACAAGAATTGTTTAATGTGACTATGTAAAATACTTTTTTGTGGCTCTGAAAAGAGCCGTTAGTGTAGTTCTGATAAACGCGAGAGATATTTTTTTGGTAAGAATCTTATTTTTCTTGTGGTTGTCGTAAAATATCCACTTCTCATCTCCAGTCACAATCCGATGCAAAAAACCTTTTCTTTGTTGCCTTTGAATCTGCAACTCGCAAGTGAAAAATCGCCTTTCAACGTCTCTCGGTTTCAGTTCATAAGGCACTTAATTTCCTTGTTTTTGAATCATTCCCATGGCTCTCAATCGTACAGAAAGGGCTTGTTGAGTTAGGCCTGGTTTATGCGAGCAATAATTGGTAACTTATACCGGAACCGGTAGAATTTAACTATAGAATTTCAATGCTTCTGTTTATACAAAATTGCCGAATGCGTATAAACAAAAGTATTGAAATCCTATAGTTAAATTCGCGGTGTTATACGTGACAATACTATTGAGCACCAAATTCTTTTAAAATTAAATACCAACTTTCAAAAATAAAATTTTTATTACTATTACATCGCGAATATTTATGATACTATTAAGCAGCAAATACTTTTACAGGTAAATAAAGAATGTCGAAAATAAAATTTTCAAAATTTATTTTTAATCCTGTAATTTCTAACAAACTTTTCCAAGGTAAAAGTTTGTGAAACAACAATGTTAAAGTAACCGGTAGAACTTTTCAAACATTTTTTAGTAAAATAACAAATACAACATAATTTTAATAATGCTATTGTTATTGACATAAGAAGTTTAATATTGTGAATAATATATAATGTATGTAAACTTAATAATTTTGATAACGTTTCTTTTTTTCAGTTCCTTTGATTTTTGTCTCAATATTCTAAAATATTAATATTTCGCAATATCTAAAGAAAATATAAAAAACACTAAGTACCGTGTGGCAAGTGAACTATGAGACTATTTAGATTGTCACTGTTTGTAGTTGCGTATATCTCGTGTATACAATGTTACATACGTAATATAGTATATTCTGTTATATAATACAATTTATACACGATGCTTGCGTACGGCTTACTTCTATATACTATACTTCTATATACTTCTATATGTATCTTCTAATATATATACCCAGCAAACAATTTGGTTGCGAGATGTCGCAGTTTTGTCGCCAACCGCCGGCGAAATTAGTAGACCAAATCCATATCCATCTGTGTCCTCATTAGGATATGGTTTGGCGACCATATCTGTCAAACATGTGAGATGTCAAAATG